TTCGTCGCTGCGTATACCTTCCGATTGACTATGTGAAGTCTGTTTTACGGAGGCGAATGGCGGGAAAATCGACATGAGCGGGATTTTAGTAGGATCCAAAATGAAGAAGAAGGTTTCGCAGCAGAAGTTGATGTACAGATGGAAGAGGAAGGTATTCGCCACTTTGATGTTCGCTTTCTGTGTGGGGAGTTTCGCATTTATCCAATCTCGTTACAGTAGAATCACTGCTTCGCTCGAGTCCTCCTTAAAGCCTCGTCTCGATCAGAAACCACAGATTTCCTTCCTGTTCATTGCTCGGAACCGTCTCCCTTTAGAGTTTGTCTGGGATGCATTCTTTCAGGTATCACACTTTCTCCTTCTCTAATTGGGTTCGGAAATTATAGTCTGGATTCTGGTCTTTGAGGATCAGATGTGGTAGAGGTTAAGGGATCAATGCCCTGATAGCATTGACACTAAAATCAGCTTGGTCAGTGATGAATAATATGTTCTTTTGCAGGGTGAGGAAGGCAAGTTCTCAATATATGTTCACTCGAGACCTGGATTCGTTCTCAGTGAGGCTACGACTAGATCCAAGTACTTCTTGGATCGGCAAGTTAATGATAGTATACAGGTTAGTGTTATGAGAATGTATCAGTTTACCTAATCATGAACGCTGTTGTTTGATTCACTTGCTAATTACAGGTTGACTGGGGAGAAGCAACCATGATTGAAGCAGAACGTGTATTGCTCAGACATGCACTTAGAGATCCATTTAATCACCGCTTTGTTTTTCTTTCTGATAGGTGAGATTGACAATGTGGATACCTTTTTATGTCTGGAATGCAGTTAATGACTTGCCTAACTAAATTTTCAGTTGTTTGGTTTCTTCTCAGCTGCATACCTCTGTACAGTTTCAGCTACACGTATAATTACATCATGTCCACACCAACTAGTTTTGTTGATAGGTCAGTGCTGCTTATCTTATAGAGAGTACCTAAATGCATAACTTCATACTTCAGCTTAGACACTGACAAGGAAGAAATGTTTATGCTCGAAGTTTCGCCAAATGAAATTTTTTGATTGCAGCTTTGCAGATACAAAAGATAGCCGTTATAATCCTAGAATGAATCCCATAATTCCTGTTCATAATTGGAGAAAAGGATCACAGGTGAAGTTCTGATAATTACTAAAAGAATATGGATTCTCATTCTGAACATCTGCAGTTTTTCTGATGGGCTCTCTGCTCTGTTTTCATTATGCTGTTAACTTCTTGTAGTGGGTCGTTCTGAATAGAAAACACGCAGAAATTGTGGTGAATGATACCACCGTCTTTCCTATGTTTCAGCAGCATTGCAGGGTAAGTTGTAGAAAATCTTCATCATTTGATTAACAAACTTAGAAATACTGAAATTGATTTTATGAGTTTCTGTCTAGTATGATACTGTAAAATGGGATATGCTCTTTATTTGCATTCATTTTTTCTTTTAAAGAAAGATATGGTTTAGCTGCCAAGAGCGACGTAGAACTGCTGCTTTAATAACTGGCTGTTATTGTGGTAGTTGTTGTGTTAGTGGACTGGTCACTGTCCGTTTACTTATAAACGTTTTTTGCATATGATCTTGCAGAGGAAATCGCTTCCAGAGTTTTGGCGAGATCGTCCTGTAGTAAGTTGCTCTTCTCTGGGCACATAACTCAACATCGCACCATATTAGCTGTTCATTCAAATCCTGCACTTTTTAGTCTGCTGTTTCAGGCTTTCTAATCTGGTACACAATTAGAGTTTGATCTTTGACCAGGACACAGTGTGTTGTACTAATGTAGTCTTATCGTGCAGCCAGCAGAAGGCTGGAAGGAACACAACTGTATACCCGATGAGCACTACGTTCAGACATTGCTATCTGTAAGATTAATGTTTGATCTTACCGTTTGCATAGTCTTTTAGAAATTAATTATACACTAGATCAAATCTGGTCATGCTTCTTATATCCACCGTAAACTCCAGCAAAAGGGTCTAGATAGCGAACTCACACGACGGTCACTGACTCACTCGGCTTGGGACCTTTCGTCCTCTAAAAGTAATGAACGTCGTGGCTGGCATCCTATGACGTACAAGTTTTCTGATGCTACTCCTCATCTTATACAGTCCATTAAGGTACACTTATCTTAGCACTTATCAGACCAAAAGAGAGATTGGGGGATTCAGATTTTTGGCTAGGCCTTGGCCTTCAATTTTTTTTGGTTTGGATATGTTGGATTGGGGTATTTCGGTTTTGTGTAAGGTAAGTCCAAAGTAAAACCAAAATTAACTCGGTTCGGTTAGGATATCACATCCCTTTAAGATTGTGTAGCAACATTTTGTTTGACATAACTGAAATTTTCCATTACAATATACATCATCTTTTTACTTGCTATGGCTTTAACTCTTTTACAAACTTAAAAGAGAAATAGAATCTATAACGTAACGCATTGATTCCCAGGGAATTGATAATATCAACTATGAGACCGAATACCGACGAGAATGGTGTAGCAGTAAAGGGAAACCATCACCGTGCTTCCTCTTTGCCCGGAAGTTCACTCGTCCAGCCGCTCTTCGCCTGCTCCGCGAGGTTAGCTTTTCCTTTCACAAAAATTACAATAATCTCTGAAACTTAAGAAATAACATCACAAACATTCCGATGAACTAACTGTGTG